AGAGAAAACCCCGGTCTGAACTGTGGAGAGCAGGAAGCCGGAGTGAAGTGGGGCAGCCCAGCTGCTGCTGGGCTTGCTCACAGGACGCTGGACATGGCAGGCTGATGTATTTTATAACAATAAAAAACTAAAAGTCAAAAAAAAAAGAAAAAAAGAAAGATTCCCCCTCTCCCCAGACTTGGCTGGCAATTGTATGGTGCTGCAGGGCAGAGGGTCAACCCAGCGCATTGCAGCCCGGCTGAGGCAGAGGCGGGGGGGGTTTCTTTGCAGAGTTGTATTTTTGGGGAGCAGGGCCCCTCGTTTTCTGGAGGCAGCCTCTGYTCTCAGTAATAAAGGACAGTCAGCATCTCCTGGTGTGTCTGCTTTCTGGAGCTGGGCACTGGCTGTCGCGGTCCCCCGGCTGCGGTGACCACAGCAGGACAGGGGTTGCAGTGTCATCTGCACGTAGCCGAGCATCCCCCSGGCAAGAAGCACCCTCCAGTACCAGTCATGTCCCAGCAGTGAGCATCACCCAGTACCAACCATCCCCACAGCACTGAGCACCCCCCAGCACCCAGCAGACATGCACAGGCCTGGGGGGCATCATGCCTGGCATTAAAGAGGTGAAAGAGAGTCCAAAGCGTGTGAGCAGGAAGGAGGGCCCTTGGGGACGTGAAGTTCACGCCGGCTGTGACCCAAACTGCTGTACCTGAAGCAGCAGCTCCCAGGCAGGGCAGAAGCTGGGGCCGTGTCCCAGGGCCACGAGCCTGCTTGTGACAAGTGACACCGCAAGGAGAGACAGCACTCAGGCTGGCTGGGAAACCTGAGCTGCTAACAGGGAGAGCAGAGGCTTGGGTTGCTCTGCTAAATAATTCACTGAATARAGGTCTTTAATAAGTAAAGGAAACTCCACACGCCAGGAGCGGAGTGGAACCTTGTGGATGGGGCTGCGGTGGGCAACCTCTTTTGCCAGGCCAGGGTCCTCCRTCCTGTTTGGGGTGAAAATTATACCTGAGCCTGTTTGCCTCTCCGAGCCCAGAGGGAAAAGAGGCATCGCCGGGGCTTTTGCACAGCCCTGTTGCATGAAGGCCGTGCAAGCCGCAGCAATCCTTGGAGCCCGGCCCTTTGTGCTTGCAGTCAGCAGGAGCAGATGGAAATAGCAGCATGCTCCCAGCTGCGGCAAAGCCACACGCCGTTGCGCGCAGCGCTCTGCGAGCAGGCAGAGATAAATATAGCGAGGCACACGTATGGGCGACGCGCTGCGCACGCCCCTCGCGGGCCGCTGCCAGGATCCCCGAYGCTCCTGCGCGAAGCACCAACAGGCGACGCCTGCTCCAGCCGTGGCGGGTTCCTTCGTGTGCCTCCTTGCATTTGCTGTGTGGATAAAGCAACACCCAGACCCCGGCCCACCTTCCTCCCAGGCGCACGTGGGTGATGCCCCTGCCTGTCCCGAGGCTGCCGGTGGGAGCTGGGAAACAGCAGCGCAGAGGTAGGGAGCCCTTCTCCGAGCACTGGAGGCAACGGAGAGGGGACCCCCCAGGCACTGGGCAGCCCCAAAATGGAGCAGAGGGCAGCCAGCGGCACAGCCCAAATAACAGGGTGGGAAGTGGAGGCAGTGCCCCTGGAGCAAGGAAAAGTTCCTTCTGGGAYGAGGGGGGCCAGGGCAGGGAGCAAAGACACCAGCAGAGAGCAGGGGGGCCAATGGAGAGCRGAACCGTTCGGAGACAGACCAAGGAGAAAGGATTCTCTTGAACATTAAAAATAAAGCGAGCGCCCGTGAGGCTGGTCCTCCTGCACTAGGAAATACCGCCCAGTTCACAACACCTCCAAAATAACCCACCCTTCTCCCGCAGCAGCCTCCCCGAGAGCCGACCCCAGCTTTGGCCAGGTTTGTGCTTCTTATTGCTAGGATTCAGCACCCGCCTAGCACGAGGAGGAGCGGAGGGACAGGGGTGGGTGCGGACTGCTCCACGGTGGGTGCTCCACGCCGTGCTGCTGGCCCCGTCCGAACCACCCTCTGCAGAGCTGAGGAAAGGCCCTGGGAACGCTGGGCGTGAGAGAAGGTTCATTCCCAAACCCAGCTGCTCTTCAGCACCCCGGGTCCAGCCGCAAAGAGATGCAAAGGGCTCCGCTGTCGCTGCCTCCCCGCGGCGGTGGAGCGGCTGCCGGGGAGGGCAGGTCCCTTGGGCAGCCACGGGGAGCTCCTCTCTTTCAGCAGAATCACGGGGATGGTCCTCAGAATAAAAACAAAAGGTCCCCAGAGAGGCCACCCGTCCCTGTGACCGGTGACACCCGTCCTGCCTGTGTGCACCCGCCGCCCCGGGGACGTCCCGCGGGACGGTGCCGGCTCACGTCCCCCGCGGGCACCGCGTGGCAGAGCCGCCCTCCGGCAGCGGGGAGCCCGGGGGCGGCGCGGCCTCCGCGGCGGCGCCTTCCTCCTCCTGCTCCTGCTCCCGCTGGGCCTGCAGGCTCTGACTCCGGGCCTCCATGAGCTCGCGGGCGCCCTCGCCCACGAGGCGCACGTCGGGGCCCGTGCGGGGCGGCGCGCGGGCCGGGTTGCGGTCGTAGCAGAGCAGGCGCAGCCCGCGCAGCGGCGTCAGGTCGGGGAAGCGGGCGATGCGGTTGCGGTCGAGGTCGAGCACGCGGAGCTGGGCGGCGCGCAGCAGCGCCGGCGGGAACGCCTCGAAGCGGTTGCCGTAGAGCCAGAGGGCGCGCAGGCCGGCCATGCGGGGCAGCGCGGCGGGCAGGCGCGCCAGGCGGTTGTCGCCCAGCTGCAGGCTCCGCAGGCCCGGCAGGCTGAGCAGCGCGCGGGGGAAGCGCGCCACGAAGTTGCCCTCGAGCCAGAGCGAGCGCAGGCTCTGGAGGCGGGCGAAGGCGGGCGGCAGCCCCTGCAGCCCGTTGCGGCCCAGGTAGAGGTGCACGAGGCGGGGCAGGCAGCAGAGCGCCTCGGGCACCTCCATGAGCTCGTTGCCGTCCAGCGCCAGCGTGCGCAGGTGGCGCAGCGCGGCCAGCTCGTCGGGCACCTCGCGCAGCCCCACGCCGCTCACGTAGAGCTTGTGCAGGTGGCGCAGGGCGCACACGGGCGCCGGCAGCCGCCGCAGCGGCCGCGCGCTCAGATCGAGGCTCCGCTCCCCGCCGCGCAGCTGCTCGGCCGCCCCCGACGGCAG